CCTAACATTTGGTATACCACTATGGCAATTCAGTCCTGCCACATTTTCTAGCCTATTGCTTCCTCTAAGTACATTCCTTGCAGGCAGAAACTATTACTACATTTGCACTTAGGCCAGGTGCGGTGGTTCAAGCCTGTAATCCCAGCACTTTGGGAGGCCGAGGTGGATGGATCACCTGAGGTCAGGAGTTCAAGATCAGCCTTTTTAGTAGAGACATGGTGAAACCTTGTCTCTACTAAAAATACAAAAACTAGCTGGGCATGGTGGCAGGCGCCTGTAATCCCAGCTACTAGGAAGGCTGAGGCAGGAGAATTGCTTGGACCTGGGAGGCGGAGGTTGCAGTGAGCAGAGATTGCACCACTGCACTCCAGCCTGGGCGAAAAGAGCAAGACTCTGTCTCAAAAAAAAAAAAAAATTATATATATATATATATTGCACTTAGCTCCACCTTTCCTTCTTGCACCAGATGCATCTAGAGCCTAAACAGAGAAGGTGCCTGTCAACCAGCGTTTGGTGATTTCAGTATTGAGACTTCGGTGCTAGCAGTGATTCCAGTCCACCTGATTCAGGCCACAGGAATTCTCCCAGAATCTTCACTACAAGTTGAAACTCCGCATCCTTACTCTTAGAGAGTAAATGCTCTTGGGGTCAATGTACACGTAAGTATAACTGAGGTGCGCGACAGGTCTACTTCCTGTCAGAACCGCTAGATGAAAAGAGGAAGTAGGTGGACACCCTTATCGGTCAAGCGTTGATGGAACATTCATCTACAAATGAGATACACATGCTCAGACCCTATGCTGACCCAAGCTGACGGTGCTATCGAGACAAACCACTTTATCACATATTCATCACCAGCCTCGGAGTTTTTCTTCCCACTCTCTCCCATAGCGGCTCACCTTTGAGGCAAGAAAGGAGCAGTTCAGGGGGAAGCCACAATCCTTGCACAGCAGGCTTCAAAGAAGCTCATCATTCATCAGCCAGTGAGGGTTGTCCTCTGCTAGTTGAGAACCAAACTCAGACATTAGATTCTTCCACAAAGGCCTCCTCACCAGCTGTCCAATGGGTACGGCGTTCACACCACTCAAAACAGCACCACAGGCCTGGTTTTATTACTGATGGTCCCCATCACAGGAACTGAAACTACATGCCTCTAGATTACCTTGCGATCACTCCTCATTTTATTAAAAACATGAATAAAGAATCCACCCCATTCTGGATATTTACCAAGCTTGACACAGGGAACACCACTATGCCATTTAACTTTGTGCACATACGTGACTCTCTCCCTCCCACCTTTCTGAGATGTGTTTCACTGGCAAACGGAGAAGAAATACAAACACTCCCCAAAGTCGAAAAATGGCAAACGACCAAAATGTTTCCCGTGCCAAATTCGAATTATCCAGGCCTCGGCTCCCGACGTGGGAAGTCCCGCCATCTCCAAGGCCGGCAGGGAACCCTGGCTCGGGGAACGCGGCTGGGCCAACCCCAGTGTGGGGGTACCAGGCCGAGGTCGGCCGATGCTGGGCGACCCCCGCCAGCAACTGGGTCGGGGGCCGCATCCCGAGAAGCGGGGAAAGAAGCCGGCGGAGAA